GTGCATTAGGTGGAAGTTTTCACCAACAGCACCAGCAAACGGACGGACGATAGGTAGAAGAATGGTGTCGAGGTACTGTCGAGCTGTGAGGGAGCGATTTGGAAAAACGAGATCGGTTCTGCCGCCGATCATGATTCCGCCCCATAGCATTACTGTACTTTTTTTTAATCTTCCTGTAGTAATATTCATTACTACACCAAAGGTTCCAAACAGTGCATCATAAGTATCTATTTTTTGTTCTGCGACAACTAGATTCAACAAAAAATACCAGTGCAGAAAAAACTAACAGTGTCGTCCATTTCAAAACGTCTACTACTAATTAAATAAATTCTAAAAATCTAGAAGACCTGCGACAGAGAATTGTTCGGGAATGCCGATTTCTGACTACGGACATCTTCAATAATGTAAGGAACGCTTTCGAAAGTAGACTGTATTATTGTATGGAATTAGATGGAGGTCATTTTGAACACTTGATCCGTTGATTGTGTTGCCATTAATATTACTTTTGTTGATTTCCTCAATAAAATGAGCGACAGCGAATTTTCTGTTTTTTCTTAAATAAAACGTTCAACATTCGATTTCTCAATAACGAATGAACCAATTTTGAAAAAAATTACTGAAGTAATAATGAGATGAAAGACCTTTCAAATGATGTATCACTCGACCTCCATGCCATTGAAAAAACTAGGGGGGATTGTTGCTGACCGTAGAGGGGTGAAGTTTCGGGTATGATTTCCATATCAGAATTAGTCCCCCTAGAAATACAAATTGACGTGTCTTTTGAAATTTTCGACTACACGTCGGTTTCTGACTTACAGGGGGGGGTCAAGTTTTCGTTGGAATGTCCTGTATATAATGAAATGTGTCGTTTTTGTGCATATGAACGCTGACTTGTGCATAACAAACTTGGTTATTCATGGTCGAGGTACTCGCCATGCTGCTGTTCTGAAGGTAATTCTGATTCAAAGTTTTTTATTCAAATGAGATAGATGTTGTCGTTCGTAGGGGTGCGGCAGCTGGTTAACGGAAAAAAAAATTTAAACAGATTTTTTTAAACAGACTTTAGCAATAAAAAAATTATTTTCTACAGCGGTTGCATTAACTAATTTTCAGATTTCGTCACCACAATATCACAGTGAACTCAACTTTTTTGTTATTGTTATTTCATTATTGTTATCCCCACCTTCATACTGAAAGTTGTTTTTTTTTTGTTTTGTATGTTTTGGCTGTTTCCAACTCAACCTATTCGCCTTCATACTGAAAGTTGTTTTCTTTTTATTTGTTTTGTATGTTTTGATTGTACTTTTTATGAGGAATAAAGACGTATTACTTTTCCCTCCGCCTTACACCCCCAAGTGAAACCTGTAGAAAGAGCCAACAATACTACAAAGGTACCTACTTATTTCTAATACTGTGAGAATGACCACCGTTGATTGAATCATCTTCTCCCGTAACTACAGTTAACTCTAAATAATGATTCCACCGCTTTTTTGACGTTTGAAAGGGAGTTGGAACCACTGAAGACGTTATACCATCCCTTGGACCCACCTCGAAGCGGCACCATCTCAGTGAACCAAACGCATGAAAAGGTTACAGTGAGGTTTTTGACTTACTGAAAGTTAACCTAGTCCGTGTGTTCTCCAAGCAAAATCATTACTATAACTTGAGGTGGAGATGCAACGTCGGAGATAGAGTAATGAAAAAAGAGTATAAGTTCAGGGACATGCTGTCAAGCTTACCTTCAAATATTCCGGTCCATTTACGCTAGTCAAAAGTTATCTCCTTCGTAGTTTATGACCTCAGAAGTAATTCCAACAAACTTGAGAAAGGCGGAAAACATACACGTGTTTGGGTATTTATGTAGACTATGAAATATGACATCTGGATATTTCGTTCTTTTGATGTGTGTAACAGGTTTTTATGTGTGTTTAATCTGTGGAGCCTCTCACAATTGAATTTTTTTTGATTTTGAGAATGAAAAGGGGAAATTACTTTCCAAAACGTAAATTGTTTTGAAAAAATTATGAAATTTTGTTTTTTCAATCGTTCATTTTATTTGTAGGCAAAAGTTATTGATTAATGAAACTCTTCAGTGGTTTATATTATGCAGTTACTTTTTGGGGTGAACTTTCAAGACCCATTTCCCAATATGGTTCCGTACCAAAGATTTTGGTACCCAAATCAAATTGCTCTCCTTTATACTAGAATATCCACTAGAATATGTGTAGATTTTTGTATTTAATGGCATTTATTGACGAAAATGACTTTCAAGTCGCTCAGTTTTAAGATATTGAATTTTGTATGTATTTGATAACGTAAGATTTTCACAAACTGCAACAAGTTCAATTTCAAACTTTACTAGTTTCAGTTTAGTATTGATTACGCCTAAAGAAACTACTGTATAGCTAATCACCTGAACTAATATTATGAATAAGAAAGATTTCTTTCTTTGTAATAGATGAACTCAAAAACTACCAAACCGTTAGCAAAAACTTCTTCATCTTCAAAAAGCTAAATTATCAGCGATTAAAATGACCTGTATATCATTTCCGAAAGAATCAAAGATCTATGATTGCTGTTACGTTGTTTGTACATTCTTGGATTTAAAGAGGGCATTCGAAACAATAGACAGAGATATATTAATCCAAAAGCTCAAATATTATGGTATTGGTGATGTAGTTTTGAAGTGGATGAAAAGTTACCTCAGTTCGCGGAGTCAAATAACAAAAATTAATAGGTGCTACTCACAAGAGTTAGTGAATGATTTTGGAGTTCCACAAGGTAGTGTATTAGGACCTTTACTATTTCTGATTTATATAAACGATATCAATTACGTAGATGGTGATCATGTGATTAACTTATTTGCAGATGATACATTAATATATACCTACGATAAAACCTTGCAAGTCGCTATTGAAAAGATGAATAATTCATTGAAAAATATTGAGTTGTACCTTGGAATAAATAAACTGAAACTTAATATCACTAAAACTAAGGCGATGATCATTACAACAAAGTATAAACAAAATAAAATTGGGAGAAACACAGTCAAAATTAAAATTAACGAAACTGATGTAGAAATAGTGAGTAAAATTAAGTATCTAGGGTTCATTGTAGATAATACAATTTCATTGAATGATCATGCTGACTATATAATAAGCAAAATATCAAAGAAACTGTAATTTTTTTCTAGAGTGGCATCTGTATTATCAATGTATGCCAAAATAACGTGCTATAATTGCATAATAAAACCTCATTACGATTTTTGCGGGACTCTCTTATATCTCTTGAATCAGAACAAATTAAATCAATTACAAAAATTACAAAATCGTGGAATGCGAATAATATTACTCTGCAATAGAATGACACCTATACATAATATGCTCTGTAGTTTAAGGTGGCTTAATGTCTCTCAACGATTGTATTATCAAACTATGATATTTATATTTAAAATAATAAATAAATTGCAACCAACATACTTAGTAAACCTTTTAATCACAAATAGTGAAGTACATCATCATGATACTAGATCGAACACCAATTTTCACATCCCAAGGACAAATTCACGTAGCAGTATGAACTCGTTATTTTTCAAAGGTCTGGACAGTTTCAATAAACTACCAAATAACAAAAAAAACTCTTCTTCTCTCCGTCTATTCAAGAGGGACTTGGTAACATTCATAACGAAAAACTGAATTAAAGCTAATTTATATTTAAAATATAATAATAACTAAGACTTTGTTTTGAATGAATATATAAGTAAATATGTAAACGTGTATCCTATATAGAATATGTGCGATATAGTTTTTTTCTTTTTTGTGATTTTCTCTTATTTGGTTATGATAGACTGATTAATTTTGATTTTTATGTATTATATTTAGATAAAGTACATTAATTATGTTTATATTTTGCCTAACTGGAAATGAAGTTCTTCTTCTTTTGTAATATAATATGTCACGATGACCCTCAAACGCCGCCCAGCTCTATGCGATGCATGTGTCATCTAAGTCTATAAATAAAAAGGTACGAATATTTAGATTTTGTTGTTTAGTATTTTTTGAAGTGAACTCAATTGAAAAGTTCTTCTCAGAAATAAACCAATTTTTTTTCAACTACCCACCTTTCTCGTTTCCTGGCGCACAAGGGTGCAATTCAAACTTTGAAAAATCGAATTACATTTTTACCCACGTTTATAAGAAAAAACGAGGCCTGATAATCTTTACGGATTGTTTTTTTTTTGTATATTTCGAAAATATTTTCAGTTCTAGTACATTTTTCATGTAGGATCATAAAAAACAAAAACTCACCGATATTCACCGAGTGCCTTGAGCATCTCTGGCTAACGCCAAAGGGTGTAGCTGGAGGTAAATGTGGAGTCGCACTGGCCCATGCAGATTCTTGCTCTTCGGCGTTTTGCTGATCACAATCGACGAACGAATGTCGTTGTCGGAGGAAGGTGTACGCGAAGAAATAACATCGCATGCGTGTCTCCTGCTCTTCCTGACGGTCCATCCTCCAGCATCCACCACTCCCGATCCTGCGATGCTATTTGATAGTGGACGTGTAGCGGGCATTTTTTCGAGAGGTTTGATAGGACGCTCAGGCGGCTGTTGAGAAAATCACTCGTTTGATATGTGCGAATTAGTAACGATGTTTATTTTACGGTGGGCACATCCATTTGAGGACATATTTTTTTGCTAACAAAGGAAGACTATATTAATATGTAGAAATATTCTGTTTTTCATATTGAGCAAACAACAATCATTTAAATTATATGATATTCTCTCTATGTCTTCGTCTAATTCCGAATATCAAACGTAAGCAAAGATTTTAAACAGTCTGGATTTCGTGTTTATGTAAATCAGATAAATTCAAAAAAAAGGATTTGGAAAAGCTGAATACACTTATTTGAATTAATGAATCGAAGAGGTTTTGTATTAATATATTATACACTTTAATACAAAACCTCTTCGATTCATCAGATAAATTCAGACCAGAGGTCGGCAAATAGTTTTAGGTGGGGTACGTAAACTGTGGGAAAATTTCAACGAGGTCCAGGTATTATTTTGGTTTCAAAACAAATTCTGAATTATAAAAAACAAGGCCTAAAATTGATGTGAGAAACTACACCAACGATCTTGAGCCAGTTTTTTAAAGTTTGGTTCTTGAGTGGAACGTCAAATTCGAAGTGTGTCTTTTAGGTGGGCGTCCGTTAATTTCGAACGATCTTTGTTTTTCAAAAAATTCATCTTTGACAAAGATGTTTCACATACATATGTCAAGCCAATCATAGTATTGTTTTGTCCAAAATTCTTCAGTGACATTTTAGACATTTGCAAAAACACATCTTCTTGAAAATCAATTATCACTATTTGAAGTGATGGCTTTAATAGATGTGACTTGGCAGCTACATCTGTCCATTCTGCCGCTACATCAACATCAAATGACAATTAAAGAAATGGAGATAGCTTGCCTATCTCTGCGAAGTTTTGGAATCTTGTAGCAAATTCGTTTCTAAGATCGGCCAGAACTTTTACAAACACTGCAATGTTTTCTTCGTGGTTCTTTTTATATTCAAAAATTGTCGTAAAATGAGTAAAATCTTGTCTTGCAATATCTTTTTCAAAGATGTCCAGCTTGCGATGAAAACCAAACACGCTTTGTATCAGATCACATATTAATTTTATATTTTCTTGTAACTGTTCAGTTTAAAAATATTATTTCAATTAATGAAGGTATGTTATACCTCATCTACGTATCAATTTATTCTTGGTATAAAACACAATACGATATTTGGCGGTCCGAGGTTCGACCTTTCGGTCCGCAAACGGACTGCGGTACGCCTGTTGCTGACCATTTATTTAGACTTTAGACCATAGTGAGTATCTGATTGATTGAAATATATGCCATGAATTGGCTTAATAGAAGAATATGCACGTTGAATGTGTTTTTTTCCGTGATTTTCTGATATCAAACTGCCATCGATCGATATTCCTAGATTTTCAGCATTCAAGGCATTCCTTGCATGCTTTGGACCAAATTTCAAGTTAGATTTGCTTGAAATAATAAGATAATAGGCAGCGATTGATTGAAGTTCTCACAAATGTATCTTGTTTATTATTTATAAGGACACAGACATTTACAGCTATTTACATTGGAAATGTGTAATATAAGTAACTGCGTTTCATAGATCTTTTTAGATAATGTCTCTAATGGTATAGTTGAACTAGCATACGGTGATGGGAACGCAATCAATACTTTCGTTTTTCTTTGACAGCATTGATAACTTCTTTCGTAAATATAGGTATCTCACTGGCAAGTCCTCTCTTTTGATATGAATTTTCTAGTGCTTTGCACGTTTCTTTCGCAGATTTCTTATCTTCAACGAATTCCAAGCGCGAATTAGCTAAGCACTTTACAATAATGTTCTGGCATTTGATTTCCTTTTCATTTTAAATGGAGTCTTTCGGCAAGGGAACTGCTTCATTAATCACATCTTCAACTTCATGTTCTTTGAAAAGTGATTCCTTTCGAAATTTTCAATGGTCGAAATCTTCACCATCGAACTGACGAATTCATCTGGGACCATAACCTTTTGTAAATAATTACTTTTCTCAATTGCAAAAAATGAAATGTTCTCTTTGACTTGTATTAACAAAAACTGTTTTTTCATATCAACACAATAGCAACTGAGTATATACAACTAGATAAATCAAAGTATAAATCAACTGGACACAA